CTGTGTGGAAAAAAAGAGTTGGCACTTTTTCTTGTTTACTAAAGGGATAAATTAAATGGGTAAGCAATAGGAGAAAGGTGCCATATGTGTGAATTTTAATAAAGAAGCATTGTTTTTGAAGATTCTGTATTCACAATATGGCAATAATATATAATTCCTCCTGAATTTCTTCAGTTTCCACCATGTACTTTAGTGCGCATTCCTCATCTGCACCTACAACTACCCCTTTCATTTGAGGACTGCCTATTGCAGGTAAAATACACACAGACTTTTGTGTTGTAAGGTCCTTTTCAATGCTGTTGTCACTTACATTTCACTTAGACTTGGATTTCTGATATGTTTGTCACAGCCATCTCAAAATATCTGGTGTAGAATTAGCAGAACTTGCTCTTCGGGAGCTTAACAGATTCCTTTGCTTTTGATACCCAGCAAATGTAGGCTGGCACTTGACTTGAGAATATCTTTGTATGAAACTTAATACAAAGATTGACTTCATTTGCATCTTCAGCTTCTAGCAGGAAAGCAATTGTCAGCCCCCCAAGATCTCAAAGATATCACTTAATACTTTTTCATATGTTTGAGACCTTGGTGTTAACTCTCCATGTCTTAACTTTTTTTTTTTTTTAGAGGATCTCTCATGAAGAGCAGAGAGGGGTGCATTACTGCAGAAAGGAGAAAAAATTCCCAAACTTGTCTTTTTCATACAGGCAGAGAGCTTGCCTAATTCAGAAGTGTTGTCATCACTTATGAAAGGGCTTGAGCTAAAGCAGTGCAGCCTGACCTCTGGACAAAATCTAGAGATAGTGAAAAAAGATAACTTCCCTGAAAACCAAAAATACAGGGCAGTAGAAAGGAAATTTTACATACTTCTGGACCCATCAGTATGTTTAAATAAACAAATTACAGTTTTGAATTTCTTGGAAAAAGTAGTCTTTTGAATTATGAAAAACATCATTTCAGTGAAATGTTTGTGGCTTTGCTGAAGGGCAGGTTGAATACACAGTATAATTAATTTAACTTTTTGGGCAAAAGTTTAAAAATCTTTAAAATTTCGAGAAACTTGCAGGGTTCAAATATTTTATGTGATGCAACTGTTGGAGACTTTCTGATTTCTAATTTGGTATTTCGAAGGAAATGCTAACGTGTGGGTGCAAAGCGTCACTCACAGGTTAAGAATAGAAAATATCAATTTTTACTTCATTTCTATGGCAACTGAAATGTGATCCTGTTTTATTGCATCTAGTACACATTCAGAACAAGGCTTTTTAGGTGGGTCTTCACACTATTTCCATTCCTCTCAAGACATTTAACACACAAGCCTGCATCTCTTCTGCTTCAGTTTCAAGATCAGTTTTTCATACTTCACAGTCTAATTCTTCCTCAGCTTTTTGTCAAAGGAACAAAATGAGTAAAGCCATTAAATGATGGCACTTCATGTTCCACTTCCAGGATCCTTTTACAGGGCTCTTCCTCTCATCTCATCATTGTGCTCCCTTGCCTTCCCAGTAAAAGGAGAAGTGCTTTGGCACAAGGCAGAGGGAACAAATACTTTAATACAGATTTTAAACTTTCTTTGTCTACTGATACTGAGTATTTTAGTAACTTGACCTATACTGTCAAGAAAGGTAACAGTCAAGTTAGCTAATCATAATGTGGACCTTTTTCTGTTTCCCTCCTGCTAGGAAAAAAAATCCACAGGGAATGCAAATAGAGGACATAGGACTCATTGTAGTTAAGTTGGCATGGTTGGGACATTTATTTCTTTAGTCAGAAGCATCTTGAAAACAAAGCTTTAGATAGTACAAATGCTCAGGGGTGTGTATGTTGAAGTTCTTTGCACTAGTGTCATAAACATTAATTTGTTTTATAAATGACCTTTAGTCACATTTCATTACTACTTATTACTAGATTAGTGGTGTGTAAATATATTCTAAGGGTAATTATTCATGGTATGATGTCAAGCAATTTGAGGTATGAGTGAAGCCTAGTGGGATTAAATTTTGCTGAACCCTGTCAGCATTTTTTATTTCTTTTTAACATGAAGTATTTTATCTGTGTTCCCCTCCTGAAAGTCATGGTGATTATCTCAGCTGATCAGCCACAGCTTCTGTGGCCCTGGAGAAGAGAGGGGCCACTTTCCAGCCACTGCACTTTTAACTCCCAGAACACAAAATCAGTTCTTCACAGCAACAAATAAGTCATGAAAGAAGGCTTGTGAGCTGCACAAGGATAGAGCATGGAAAGCCAAAGATGGTAGAGAGGGAAATGAGCATTTACTACATTTAATTTCTTCCTAAGTAGGAGATGAATGTGATGCTTATCAGCTTCTTTCAAATTCAGTATACTGAAAAAAGCAATCTCATATCTTAATTCTTACTGTGTATAAAACATTGTTATGCATGTATTCTTGCTAGGCCTCAAAAAATACAATTTCAAAATTAAATCCTGGCAAAGCTAATAGTTATGGTGTCCTCTGTAAAAGCTTTGCAACCTTTCCAGGCATGTTCCCCTATTGCTTTTTCCTGTGTTACACTCTTCATAAAGAGGTGATTTTTTACAGTGCTCCCCATGTCTCCCTAGACATTCTCATTGGTCATTTTGCTTCTGGCTGTGACCGTGTCTACAGGAACAGCACATTCTAGTAGGATCAGCTGTGTAGGATAGTAGAACAGTTGCTGTTGGGGAGTCATGATGTGTATTAGATGTCTTGTGATCTACCCTAGCCTGGCTCACCTGGTTCATTGGCCTCAATATCTGTTAGCAATGGGAGAGTATAATTTAGTCTTCCAGTTCAGCTTCATTAAAAAAAAAAAGTGTAATTTTTGCACTCCAAGATTAGTCTGAAATTGCAAGTGAATCATGATAAGTGAGAACTGGTAAAGTTGTTTCAAAAGCATTCTCGGGATCCAAGCTGAAACAGTAATGTAAATGAAGACTGCTACTCCTGCAGAAAAAAAAAAAATAAAAGTAAAACAATTTTTTATTTGCTTTCACAGTGAATTATTTTGTGGCACTGCATTTAAATACTGTTCCAAAGCTTCATGGAGCTCACATCAATGGGCACATGTCAGGGGGTAGCAGGCTGATGGCCACTGATAAGGAACTCACTTAAGATAAGAGACATGGTTTGATGGCAGTTCAGTTTGACTAGTGGTTACTGTTTGACTAGCTGATGATTGGTGGAGAATCATTTACAAGATCCAGCACTTTGTTACTAGCATGGTCTTAACAAGTTAAAGAGTTAAAATAAGTGACTTTGAACAACAAAAAAAAGTTAAATTATCTTAAAAACTCATAAACAAGATAAGAAAAATCTAAAGTCTTTGAGTTTGTCTATATCTTCTCTGCATCAAAACTATTAAAATCAAGAAATTATGGGTGTATTGTGTAGATACATACATTTGGTTGCTGTTTTTTTTAAAGAGGGAGGGGCAACTGCTGCAGGAATTAAATAATTTCAAGTATTTTAATTAAAGCAGTGTATTTTCATACAGCTGTGTAGATCATTTTTCTGTGTCAACATTACAGCATATTATGGTACAGGATGGTGTAAATACAAATTTTTAACAGCTGGAATATTTTATTTTATCAATTGATTGATTTTGCAAAATTCTTTGGAATTAGAGATTTCACTACTAATTTTAGCTAAGATCAGATCGTTGTATATAGCTGTTCCCACAGAATTTTATGTGTTGTTCCTCATCCCAGCTATTCATAGCACGCAAGAAGGTACTAAAATCTACTGAAATCTCCTTTTTTTAATAGGAAAAAGGAGCAGGACAGGACTAAAGGTGTTTTGTACTTGCTGGCTAAACCCTATGATGTATTCTCATAGCTATGGGCTCTGATTCATAAAGATTTCATCTATAGCTATTGAAATAGTAGTTAGCCCACTCGAGGTTTTGTGCCTTGAGTCTGTGTGGTCTTAAAATCACATAGCCAGTTAGAGATCATTAAAAACAAGACTGAGTGAACTTTAAGGTAATGGGAAGGTTTCACATGATCTCAAGTAAGTTTTAACTGTTAAACTCTACTTTGTACAACATACCTTAAACTGAGATACTGGAACTGTGGGGTTTTTTCCAAATGCAGACATTTTTCAGAGTATGGTCCTATGGTGACTACACACTGCATGATTTGTTCTGTTTAAGCTCCTGGCTCTGGTCTAAGAAATGAGGATAGGGTTTTCTTGTTGTTGTCCTTTAGATGTAATGCTTAGCTGGAGGCAGGCAACCAAAGCAGCTTTAATTAGGGAAATTCTTTGCTGCCTCTAATTTTTTTTTTTATTTGCATGTTATTAGATTACTAAAAAATTAAGCTGTGACTCTGAAAACTGGGAAGCAGAGGTTAAGTAATTCTTGCCTTCTGTCCCATGGTATAGGAACCAGGACAGTCCCTGAGCTGGCATTTTGCCTTACTACTGCACTGCACCCCTTCAGCTCACAGTCGGGAATCATGCAGACTGAAAGCAATCTTGAGTGTATGGGTTCAGAATTCATAAAGATATGTCTGTGACTAACCCTGATCAAACTTAAAGCACTGTTCTGGACATTGCCATCAAGTATATTACAGTGACATAAGGGCATGCAAATAAGAAATTCTCAAAGTTAATGGCTACATAGATTATTCTAACAAGCTTTGAGCCTTAATTCTTGTTTTGAATGACTCAAATCTGTCCCACTGTGATTTAAATACAACTATAGGCAGAAATTACTGCATGAAACATTGCAAATACTGGCTAATAAATGTGGAATTTATTAAGGTTATTTACAAATGTTTTGCTGGCCTAAATGCTGGGAGTGGTATCCATGCTTGTCTGGTACACATCATCCAAGTAAAAGGGAAGTAATACTAGTGTTTTGGTCTCTGTTTTTTGACTCTATTAAAATACCTCACAGTGTATGCAATATCCTTCCTATAGATGGTTAACTTCTACCTTTATGACACATACTGTTTTTGCCTTTTCAGTGACTCTGATGTTTTCTGTGCCTTCCTTTCAGAAAAGACGACGGCGGATTGATCGAAGCATGATTGGGGAGCCGACAAACTTCGTTCACACAGCTCATGTAGGATCTGGAGACGTATTCAGTGGAATGAATTCAGTAAGCATGAGTTGATGAACATCATTTCATATTAGACAGAATACAAGAACACTGTATTTGTATGTTGTAGCTGAAGCAACGAGTCTTTCAGCTGTAAGAAAGAATCTGTATGAAACTGAAGAATGACCTGATAGCATTTTAATTCTAAGTCCTAAACACTTGCATTCAAGAATACAGATTATAATTGTTAAAATTCCTATATTTATTGATAACGCATTTTAGATGCTGTATAAATGATATAGAATACTTTTTAAACTAAAAACTCACTCTCTTTATATGTATGAACCAAAAGAGATGTATGCTTGAAAGTATACTCAGGTATTATATAGAAAAATCTAAGTGTCTTATAGTTGGCTAGATTTTTTATTTTGAATGCCTCAAGCTGTTTTGAATATAGTTCATTTAGAACTCTAGCTTACCGCAGTTTATGGTGCACATGAATTTATGTTTGGATGTTTTTGCTGAGCTTTTTCTATATTCTGTAGCCCTCTTTGCAGTGTGAATTATTTCCACAGCAAGTAGTGTCACAGGTAAGATTTTGTAGCTTCCTGTAGAAGACGGACGCAAGAAATATTTTTAGCTCTCTGAAAGTGAAAAAACAGAAGGTAAGATAAATGATGAAAATGAACTTACAGAAATAGGTGTATCTTTTAGAGCTTCAGATTTCTGTGAAATGTCAATCTGTTTCTAAGGTAAATAATATAAAATATAGAAAATAGTTGTATGTAGATGAAAAATACTTATTGAATTTACTAACAGTCTTTAACAGAAAACACATTTGGAGATGACAAAGACTTGGTGACAGAGAAGAAAAATCTCTGTCAGAGGTATCAAAATAGAAAGCAGAGCTAAAAAAGCTTAAATGTAGGCTAGGAAGGTAATTTGTAGTTTCAACTAGATTAAGTTGGTGTTATTGACCTCAGAAAAAAATTTTTGTAACTCATCACATAATGAGGAAGGGCAAAGCTAGAAAATTCATCATGAAAAAATGCAATACTTTTTTTTGGAAACAGCACAGTGGGCTGTAAATTATTTTTAGTAAAACCTTTGTAAGCAAGTTAAATGACCAAACACAGATTCCACTTAATAAAATTTAGTTAAAGCTGATTCTTTATTTAATGTGATATATTACATTAATATTTAAAGCCATTATAAATTGAAATAATACACTGATAATAATGTGACCGGGTTGTTTGATTACTTTTTTAAAGCATAGATTTGCTTTTTCAGTAATTGTTGTTTCTCCTGAGGGAACCTTCCTTATTCTCACAGCTCAGCTGCCTTTTTGAGATTTGTACAGGTGGCCTGAAGCTTTAGTTTTTCCCATTTCTGCCTGTTTGCTCTCATCTTTTTCTTGCATAATACCCAATTTATCTCCAGATAGCAGGTAATCATTATTGTCTCTCTACATAAATGGAATGCTTCTAAGTAGCTCTTTCTCTCTCTTTTTTTTTTCCCTTCTTTTAAATTTGGATAATGTGCTGCATCAATGACCAGTGAGATTTTTCTGATCCTAGAAAGTATCTGTCTGTGAAAAATAATCATTCCCAATCCCCCTGCTTCAGAAGCTCAAATCTCTGTTTTTTCACGCTGCTTATTTTCTGCCTCTTCTGGTGGTGGTCTCCACATTCTTTCTTTGCAGTGTAAATTCCAAGATTACAGTGCTAACCTTCACATGTTCTTCTACTCCATAATTTTCTTTATAGTATGGACATTATATTCCTTCAGGAACCTCTTTGTGCTTTATCTTTTTAAATAACTTAGGTGAAAATCTGCAATTTACTTAAGTTTTTTCCATTTATATTTGGTTCTTTATTGACTTTCTTTTCTGTCCTGTGCCTTCTTTCATCAGCATTACTTCATTATACATCTTTACAATTCTGACTGAATAGTTTTCTGACTATTCAGAATATTTTTGAAATATTTTGCTTTTTTGTTTTCTTTTTCTGTAGAGTGCCTTGCTCCTTTGTTAGAGGTGTACTTAAACAGCAGGAGACCTCTTTGCATTGTTTCTGTTCAATCCCCATCCCTTTTCTCCCTGTTTTGCTTTCACAGTCCATGGTGAAATCTCTTTCTTCTGATGCCTCATATTCTTCAGTTCAGTCTTTGATTTCATGTAGTTGCCCACTGCTTTTTCTCTCAAGGTCTGTCTGTGCTGTTTCCTAATTCTGAAAGGGAGGGTTTAAAAAGGAAAGAAAGAAATTTAATGAGATACATAAGCAACACAACAATTTGCATGATCCTTAATGGGTACAATCCTCTTTCCAAAATCTTTAAAATTCTTAAGTCCCATCTAAATTAGATGTAAGAGAGAAGAACATTGCTGTTGCATATCGTCAGAGAAAGGCAATCTTTGGGAAATGGCATCTTTGGGAAAGAAAACAAATCAAAAATTGCATTTCACAGAGCTAGTTCTTGTTGCTCAGCCTTAAAAGAAGGATGCTTCAGAAAAAATGCTGCCTTAAAAGCCTACAAATGTTAGACATTTTTTGCTTAGCAATTTTAGTTTTGTATGCCTCCTACAAAAGTTTTCATATACAAAATAGTTACTGAACTGTTTATGCAGACTAGTTTCATTTGTTGCATTCTCTGTTTTAAGGGCAGCAGTCTCTGCATTTAAGACTGATATTTCCTTATCCAGTAACTCATGTGTGACTCATGAACTGGAGAAATTAGTCTAACTTTTAGAAATAGTCTCGAAAATCTACAGTTCAGCCTTGCAATTTGTGTTGATTTGCTGTTCTCCAAAATTTTCAAGTCTTGTAAGCAAGTTTTTAGGTTGAAATGTGATGTGGCCTGGAGATTTTTGTAGGTCTTTCTTCTGCTGGAGTCAGAGTTAATTTAGATAAAATTACTGGCATCCTATATTCACTCTTGTGAATACATTTATGTGTAGATTAATTTTTTTCTGAGGAAAAAAACTGAATTCAGACTTTGTTTTTTTCCATGGCAGCAAAAGATGCTTTGTGAAAAAGATGAGTGGCTTGGTAAAATGTGAAAGTTCTTAAAATATATCCCCATGCACTTCAGCACATTCTTTTACTGGATTCATAGTTTTTGATGTCAGATGCACTTGAAAATACGCTCTGAACACTTTTCCCTCAAGAAAAATAAGATGGTAATATTGCTTTGCTGCAGCTTTATCACTTATTTCAGCAAAAGGCTGAAGTGTTAAATGGTTTTACATTGTGCTGCTTAAATACATAAAAACACAATCCTTTGCATAGCATTGCAATATTGAAGATATAATGTATATAATGTTGAAGATACAGATCAAAAAAACAGGCTCTTCTGTCATATAGGCTTGGAAAACTGCATGGAAGAATGAGTTTATGGATGCACTCTGTACATGTGCATGTGTTTTGCTTGCTGTAGAAAAGAAAATATATTTATTTTGTCTTTGTAAACAGGGAATGTTGTGCAAGCTACTTGGAAATGTTCCTCCTGTGCTGTTTTAATACAGCACAGTGATGTTCCAGTGATGTTTTTAGGTCTCTGTAGAGGAGGAGCATAGATTAAATAATTGCAAGTGGTGCCCTGCAGGCATAGCCTTGAACGAATGTTATTTTCCACTCTTTGTGTAGTTGTTATGTATGCTCTGGGATGCAGAGAAAAAAGGGCCAAAGCTTTAAGATTCAAGCTGTCTTCCTGCAGGCACTTGGACATCATTATTTTGAGTCATGCAACACAAGCAGGAAAGAACAATGGGTTTCCTTTTCTGTTTGGTGATTGAGGTAAAGTCATAGCAGGATGTGCATGTCTTGAAACCTGAGGCGTGAAACAGGGGGCACAAAGAGTGTGTCTCTATGTATTTATATACATCAGGCTAAAAATACCTTCAAATCACCTATGTTCAGGAAAGTTCAGATTGACTGTGTTTTAAAAAATAAATGCCCTCCATTTAAAGGAACAGTATAAATTAAGGGAAGCATTGAATGTTGGCATGTAAGTAGATAAATCAAAAATGTTCAACAAACCAAAAGGTTCTTTTTGAATTAGAAAATCTTAGTTTAGCCCTGTTTTAGCGATCCAAATTAGCCATACAGATATTTGCAAGTTGGATATTATACTCTTAACATGATGTTAATTTAGTGATTAACTTGTGGTTCATTATACTTGCCAGAGAATATTTTCCACATAACAAGATAAATTTTAGTTTGTCAGATGGAGTCAATGCCAGTAAAATATTTGATTTTTTTTTTAATTCTTTGATTAATCAAGTGGGTCAGTGAAACCACGAATCAGCCAGTTTTCTTTGGGAGAGAGGAAAAACTTTTGCCTCAGCACCATTTCTTTGATCTTTTCTGCTGATCTATGTGCTGAAGTTAAAATTTCAGCAAGTCTTGGATGCACGTGTTCTTGTGCAAAATTAATATAGCTTTACTGGTAACAAAGGAACTCTTGGAAGCTAAACCTAGAGAAAAAATAAAATTAAAAGCAAGAAGATGCTACAGCTCATTGTTGTTCTTCTTTTCCCTTCTATCCCCAGGTCAGCTCAATTCAGAATCAGATGCAATCCAAGGGAGGCTATGGAGGTGGCATATCTGCAAATGTTCAAATGCAGCTCGTAGATACAAAGGCAGGATAACCTTGGGGATAACTTTCCTGTAAGTATTTAATTCTACTTCTTAGGCACTGTTAGAGCAGTATGAAAAACAATCATACTGCTTCATAATTATCTCCCTGTAAAAACTTGGGTCTTTATGATGACCAATTTTTAAATCCATTTCTGAGTAAGAAGAATAAGAATGTTACTTTTTCACAGAATGGACTGCAGATTGTTCGGACTTTATCAGCCTAACCTTAAGCATGTGATTAACCAAGGGTGATCTTGTAGGCTGATCTTTGCAGGTGAAGTTAGTTGTAAAACAAATCTCATAAGAAGTTTGTGATGTGACTTTTGCAGTGCTTCCATAAGATGTATGGTGTTAAGTCAATGTATAGCAGGATTGCTGTTGGAAAATGATCAGAATGCTCAAAACTTGGCTTAATGCATGTTTTCTGTCTTTTAGGTTTATGTGAGTTCCTGTATCTTCTTTCCTGTGTCCTCTCTTTTGCCTTGGTGACTGCTTTCTGTGCTCATGACAAGAGAAGTGATGGCTCATTGTTCACCCTTCGTGATTAGTCCTGTGAAAAGTTGCTGTTCTGCTCTGATGATGCCACTTACCAGATTGGTCCAACTGTGCCTTTCAGTGGCATGCACACATTGGCCTCTACCAGTATCATGGACATAGAGCTTTTCAGGATTGGTTGTCACTTTTTAGTTGTTCTAAGACAAATTAAAGTACCGATCTTAGCTTTCCTCATTCCTCAGAAATACTAATGCACAACATTCTGTTGCTTTTTAGTCTTCTAATCTTTTCTCCACTCAAATAATTTAGAAATTAATGAGTTTCCACTAGTGTCTTCAATTACCTAATGTTCATTGAATTTTTGAAAGGTCTGAGACCTGTAAGCACAAATAATTATTTCATACAAAATCAACAGAGTAGATGACCGCATGCTTTGTGAGGTTGCTTTTTATGGTGGGATGCTTGGTGCTAAAAGAAAAAAAAAATAGCTTACTGCAGATGTGAAAAATTTTGCTGTGGCACCAAGTCATGCCTGTTTCTGAAAAAGGACTTGTAACTTAGCTGCTTCAGAGTCATGTCTTTATTTTAGTTTTTATCCAATTGGTCTTGAAATAATAAAGAGAGAGCTTGCATTCATGAGGCATTTGTTGTAAATGTTCAGTATATTTATTTTGAAAGAGCTGACCTTGAGACTGTAAACCAGTGTAGTACCGTATCTAAGTGTTGTGGAATCGCTTTAGTCTATTTACACAGAAGAGCAACATCTTTGGCTGCTTCTTTTTCTGTCTACAATTTTCCTTAATTTCAACCTGTATAGTTATTTCCAGTAGCAGCATGTCACACTGCCTGCAATATTGGCTGAAAAGTTCAGTAGACCTTTCTATGTAGTTGGCAGTTTCTGTGTACTAAATATTTAGGGCCATGGAAGTTGCTAAGAGCAACATACTAATCTGGCAGAACAGGTGCCAATGAAAACAACATACAGGGTGACTTTTTACTAAGTCAGTAAAATGCCTTTTGCTCAGGTTCCAAAGCATGTTTCTTTCACATGATGTGAAACTGCATTTTAATATTGCACTGTTTTCAGATTATCTCTATAAATGGTCCCTTTTCTTGCTTCTTGGTGGTGATTTTAGAGAAGTCAATTATTTGAGTCCTGGTTACATTACATTTTTATGAGGGAAAAAGACCCAAACCATCTTAACAAATAAGGCATAACTGATTTTAATCAAGTCCATTTCTATATGCAAATATGCATGTGGACTAATGTTCTTTATTCTGTTTCTGTCCTTTCCCTGATTTCACATTGCAGCAGCTGTCTTGTTGACAGCTGTCTGGTTACCTGATCTTCTCTCTCTGTTTGTAAACAACACATAAAATACACAGCTATGGAGGTAGTTTGCCTTCCCTAGGTTGTATTTCAATGGTAGATGTCACTTATCTGGTTGAATAGTTCAAATTAGGTTGGGTAGTGTTCACTGATAAAGATACTGATTCCTGATGAGATGTTAAATTGTGTGGATGCATAAGTGCATGGCAGTGCAGTGATACATATATTTTTTAGGGGTTAGCATTTCCAATGCCACTTTAACAATGACTCTTAAATTTACTACAAAACTATTACAAAATTATTTGATCTTTGTTATTGGTAATAGCAGCTTAAATTTGCTTGCCAAACCTATCTTGCACTTGCCAAAATGTTTTCAGCTCAATAGCCAGGAAAGAAATTGACATATTTTTATAACAGACATACTTTTTTTGTACATTGTGTTCATTCTTGAATAAAGTCAGTTCAGTGTTGGCTTGTAGATATTAAAAGGAAAGTATTGACTTTGAATCAATAAATGTTTTCTTTCAGCTGGTGGCCTATCCTTTTTCCTTTCCATAAATTATATTTGCATTAGAAAAACACTTGAATCTTACAGACAGATTTGTGGTGGAAAGAGTAACCTATTAGTCTGAATAAATAAATTGCAGGCTTGAGTTTTTTTTGTCGCACTTGACCCTTTTGTTGCCAAATGGATTAACCTGTAGTTTTATCAGTATTATTGTTGCATTGATTTAACATGTATGCCAAGGGCTTCTGCAAGGAAGGGAGAATATCTCAAAAATACTTTGGAAAGTTTCCTTTTGACTGCAAGTCATATGTGTGTTAACTTTCCTGATTATGCTGCAGATTACTATGGTGGTCAGTAAAAGACTTGTGACCATAATATGCTCATCTGCATTAAAAGTACCTGCAAGGCACATTTGGCTCAATCAATTTTTATATTTGACACTCCCAAAGTTTATTCCTTAAGCACTAACTTACTACTTTAAATTTCATGCCAAATTATTCTGAAGACTGATAATGAATTCTTTAGCTCATGCCAAGTCCATTAAATTGCCAGTTGAGGGGGGAAAAGGCAGCTAGAGGGAAATAAGTTCTAAATGAAATAAAGATGTATAAATCCATGTGATACCAATCAACTAAAGGGTTCTTTTTTTTCAAATGCTGAGGTTATAGACACTTAAAACTGTTTACAAAGGTGTATCTTGAAGACCAGATGTTCCACTGTAAGTGCATGTTCAGTGGCTGACAATAAAGATTCTGCTAGTAATTAGTAGAATTACTTCAAAAGCTTACCTGTGAAACTGATTTGGACTGGTTCCATTTGCTTACCCTTACAGTCCATGCTAGCTCTGACACTGATTCGGCAGTTAACTCATACACTGAACTCTAGGAAAGGTTGTATGACTACCTTGATTAGTTTCAACCTGGATCAGTTTCCTAATGCTTAATCAGAGTAAACATGGGAACATGGGAGTAAGTGTCATGGGATCAGAGATAGTCTGTTACAGGGAACATTGATAATTTAACCTGTTTTTCCAAAAACATCAAGCTTTTTGTGAATTAAAAAATTAAAAAAACCACACAAAACAACAAACACAAAAAACAACAGCAAACCAACAAGAAACAAACCAAAAAATAAAGCAAACACAAACAGCCCAAACAAATCCACAAACAAAAAAACCCAAACAAAACCAAAAGGAAAACCTACCCAAATGAGAACATTTAGGCTTTGCAGCGGTGAATACATCTACTGGAAAGATTTAATTCCACATTTTCTGAGCTCTTTTTCCATGTACTGTGCTCTCCAACTTTGTCCGAGTATTCTGTTTGGTTTGGGGGCACCGAGCACGTTGAACATGCTGCCAAAAGAACAACCACATCATCACCAAGTGTCAGCCATCCTCATGCAGTATGATTCAGTGCTGCTTTCTGTGATAATTCCATCCATCAGCACTGCACAAGAAATCACTTTCTACCTTCACACAAGACAAGAGAAATTGTAAGTTCAGATTTCAAGCAAGTTTTCTATTAAGCCTGGAAAACTTGAAGTGCTGGTTGAGTTGGCAATAAATTGCTGAATAACAAACTTACTTCCTTCAATATGATGCAGAATGGTCCATTTATGAATAACTAAGTTGTCATGCAATAGCTGCATTCATTTGTAGCTATTTAAGGATTTGTGTGAGTTTATAACATTCATTGCTATAGATATGTTCATGGTTCGTTGGGGATGTTTCTCAAGAAATTTGATAGTGTTTTTATGTACATGATAGTAACAGAGCCTATCAACAGAAAATAACGGTAGGCTGTTATGTTTGGTTTATCACTTCTTTCAAGTGAAGTGAACATCACTAAGCAGTAAGAAAGCTTTATATATTGATGTCAGCATTCTAGAAATACTAGTCTTCTACCAGTGCCCTGCATGTCTGAGTCCTCAGCATATCCCTGTTTCCCAGGGATATGCTTTGTTTCACCTACACTATGCTTTCAGTTCAGGAAGGGGATTGTTGGTTTTCAGTTTTTTAAATCTCTCATCAGTCTTTGTAGGTCCTAATTAATTTGAAATAATCTGCCAGGCAAAATAAACATATATCAAATTTGTGCTTTTCCTGATGGGGAAGTTCCAGGTTGATTCCAGCTGATGGAACAGTGGTGTGAGAAATTCTAATGCACTACAGAGGAGCCTGGGTTTAGTTTTTGCAGCTGCTGTCACTCATCGTGATTCCTCATCCAATGTGTGTGGTTGGCTGCTGTTGTGCAAGGCCAATTCTTAAAACATTGCCTCGAGGAAAATGAGTACTGCTTGAAATTGATTTTGAAGTCTTCCACTTTCTTGAAATGTGGTATCTCTAGGGAAATGGCTATTCTGAAGCAGTTTTCCTTGGGACATCATCTTTACACTATCAATAAAGCTTTCAAAGAACCATACACCTTGGAAAAGAGTACTGTTTCAAAGTGGTTGATGCTAGTGGACATTCTCACACTCCACAGATTTTTTCACTTGTCAAAATTCCACCTTCTGGTATGTTAAAAATAATCTCATATGTGATATATGCATTAAGCAGTAGAGTAATGCATTGCACAGACATTTTATTTCACATTTATAATGGAGAGAAACATTTCCAAGGGTTGAAATAAGGAATAAAAAATCACATTTCAGTAAGCAGTATTGGGTTTGGAGGGATGGAGGACAGCAGGGAGGGCAGATGTAAATGAGTGAGTGAAAAGAAAGAAGTATGGGAGAAGGCTAAACTTTGATAGATGACCAAGTACTGTATGTATTCCCTATGGCATCCTTTTCAAGAAGAAGCTATTGGCAACAGCCACAAAAACCAGAGCCCAGTGCAGCAAGGTTTATTCATTTTTCACTGTTTTAGGTAGTAGGTTCCAAGACAGTTCTCTTTCTGGAAGTTGCAATGCATGATTAGTTTCCAGCTGGCATAATCAGGATCTGTCAGAACGGGCAGTAGAGCAGCCCAGGGCAACAGGGCTGTGTGGGGAACAGAGCTGGGAAATGAGACTCTTTTTGACAACTTTTTTTTTTTTACATATTAAATGTAAACTATTTTTCTTACTGTGAACATACATAGGATGGTGAATAGATGACCATGTAGCTTCACATCTCTAAAAACTTACTTAGAAGTCTGTTTCCAGATTCATGTACTGGAGCTGGACAAAATCAAGATGATACTTGGACCTACTGCTGTAGATTCAAGACCCACTATTTAGTTTTATTTATTAGAACCACCCACTTCTATCTGCTTACATCTAACTGCAATTGCACAGATGCTGTTTTCCTCAGAGACTGCCAAAATGCACCCAGCCCAGTCCATGGAAGGGAATTAAATTGCCATCCCATTATTTAAGGACTTTTTGCTTATTCTCTGAATCACAACCAGAGCACTGGAAATAGGTGACAGAAGGAAGTCCTGTGGCTAAAACAACAGCTTTATAAAACCTTGAACTGTGAAGTTATATGAACATGACTGCTTACTAAAACAATTTTAAGTAGGATTTCCAGCCTCTTACAGCACACTTGCATAGTCTTGTAGAGCAAAATTAAAACTTTCTAATCTATATAGATGCATAGCCCATACTGTCTGCAATGTACGTGCTGTAAGGAGATATATTTTGTCTCTAAGAGGTCCTAGCAATTTCTGAGAACACAAGGCACTTCTTGTCTCTTGTTTGAGAGTCCTCCTTTTTGGAGCAGCTCTTCAAGTCCATCCCACAGCAATGTGGAGGCCAGCGCAGCACTGATAAGATGGACATGGTATCCCAGGCCAAAGTGCCAAAGCCATTTGGCACAAGGGACTTGCAGATATTTTTGTCAGTGCTTGCAGCAGGTAGAGTCTGATGCAAGCACTGTGCCCCCAGCTCAGTGGGCCTACAGGGTCAGTCAACATGTGCCCTGTTCAAGGGGCAGCTGAGGCAGCCCAGACTCCTCCAGCCTCCCCACACACTAAGTGAGGCATTTACATCACATTCCTGGGCTACACTGCTGTCTTTCCAAATTTGCACATTATTGCACTAAGAAAATTCTTTTCAAATCACATTTTCTAAGAAAGGGCACGTAGTTAACGCTGTGGAGAAAGTCAGGTCCTCCTGCTCCCTGCCCCCATATAGCAGAGTCAGCTCATGGAAGGGCCACTGGAGCTGGCTATTATCAATACAATAATCAGAGCTGTCACTGCTTGGAAAACTGTGATCAAGTATGTGCAGCTGCTCATTTGAATAGCTTTGTCACTGAGGAAAGCTATCCACACCCATGGTGAAAAGTTCTCCAGGGAACAGACATGCCTTCTAAATTTAAGCTCTGTAAGTAAGAATTTTCCACAGCCCTTTCCAACAAACCATGGGCCACAGGGCCCATAACCTTTTCTGCCCCATTATTTGCAATATTGATGTTCACATTGCAATATGTTTAAAAGTTGTAATAAATATTTAGGTAATTAGAAAGTGGGCGCTGGCCTTTCTGGATGGGCAACTGCTTTAGATTCCCTGTTGTCTCAGGGTAAAAACTGTTTCACAGCACACAGAACTATTTCCCGGTGAGAAATCTACAGTCCAGTCCTCTGACCATAAATGAACCTGCAAATGAGAATGGCCTTTTCTAATCAGACCAAGAGAATCCAAAATCAGAGGGCTGCAAAGGGTTTAAGAGGATTTTACAGAACTAAGAATACTTTTCCATGGTTCAGGATTTCAGTGCTTTACTTTTTCCTCTAAACAATGTTTTGCCCAAATTTCAGGTACACCACAACATCTGATTTTTATTCCTTCACTGTGTACTGCTTAAGGTTTTGGGGCTCCTGAGAACTGTTTCCAAAGACTTTGTGTGCTGCTGCTTCTGTTTTGCACCATTGTAATAATGTCTTAATTCTCACACCATAAATGGCATCGTAGTCATATCTCAATGGATTGTCAGGAATATGCAGCCAGTTAATAAATTTAAGTGAGACCTGAAACAGCAAACATAGGAACACTGCCCCTAAATATCTACAATGCTCCTAAACTAGTAGCATCAGCAATGGTTTGAAATTTGTTTGGGGGTTAAAACCTTCTAAAGGGTAACAGCACTGCTTTTGTAATGTAGCATCAAATTACTGTCATCCCATGCCTTACCCTCACTTCATCAGTAATACTTATTGTAAGGTTACTTGTTACTTCAGAGCTTCCTAGTGAGGTGCACAAGCACACAGGGAATAATAGACCCTTTGAAAAAGAAAAGCTCATCTATTTTTTTAGTAATAATTATATTAAACCAGCCAATTTTTCCCATAAACTAATTGCCTTCTCCCTTGCCTGTGTTCTGTAGTCAGAAAGATAATACCCCTACAGAAGCAGCAGGGTAAAAGAGAGTTCTTTGCTGCTTCAAGCAATTACCATGACATAAGAAAAAATAGATCCTCTT